GTGTGTGTGTGTGTGTATGAGAGAGTGAGTGTGAGGCACTGACCGTGAACTGCTGGTTTGATGCCGGACTGCAGCAGCCTGTGAAACACAGCACACGACAGATAACGCTTAAAACACGATGAGCTGCTAGGTTAGGCTAGTAACGGAGACAGAGACGGATAAAGAGGCTGCAGTACCGGGAGGAAGTGTCCGTGAATGATCTTCGACAGGACGCGAACGGAGGAGGCCGCCATGTTTTCTGGAAGGAAGCGGAAGTGACGTCAAAGGAGAGACGAGGGCAATGGAACTGCAATCTGGTGAGTTTTATGAGATTTAATTTAGCCGCTTTTAGAGCAGTTTTGTCTTAAAACTAAAACTCTGGGTGGAAAACTACTCGATATACTTGTCATATCTGCTCATTTGTTATGCGGCATTAACAATAATTGCAGAAAGCTTTCTAATTTTGACATACTAAGTAATAAACAGACATAAAGTAGTCATAGATATTAGATAAAAAAGGCAAAAAAAAACTATCATAATTTGTCATCTCATAAATATGACTTGACAACCTTTTTATTTAATATTTTTTTAAGAATTTTGTGTCATCATTTCGACTTTTTATGTAATAATTTCTATTTTTCATGCCATATTTTCGATATTAAATGCCATATTATGACTCTTTAAGTCACAATTTCGATTATGTCCTAATTTAGACTTTTAAAGTCATAAATAATTAGGACTTTTTTCTCATCATTATGACTTTGTCATAATTTCGATTCAGTATGCCAGAATTTCAGTGTTCAGCTTCTGTGTTATTTTGGTGAATGCGAGTTGAAGACGTAGAAATACATACATTTTTTTACATTTATTTAATTAAACGTAATTTTAATTAAAAAGCATTTAGGATGAGACGTAATAAACTAAAAATAAAACACTTCTTTCTTTTAATTTTTTGAATTAAAATATTTTTTCTCTGTCGTATTAGTGTGAAATCTTAAGAAGACACGTGCTCTGAGCAGGTTCTGGACATTACATCAAAATAAAAGCGCGGGGGGAGGGGTGTGGTCACGTGGTGCTCACGTGACCCAGCGCAGGGCCCGGACAGCGGCAGAATCAGAGACAGCAGCAGCTGAAAACCGCTCATCTGACTCCCTCACGCGCAGATAACGAGCAGAACCGCTCCGCTCGGGGTTCGGTATCATCCGCGGACCGGGTCCGTTCCTCCAGCTCATCCAGTTCATCCGGTTCTTGCGTTTTAAAGCGGGAAACCAGCGAGGAGCGCCTGAGGTGAGTGTAGCTTTAGCTGCGGAGCTAACAAAGACACAAATACAGCCACGGCGCTTTTCCTTCTCTTAATCTAATAACCACATATTATATCTTCATTTGAGTGTCTTAGTTTTGGCTCGTCAGGACTAGTATTCTATATTTATACTGAATTCATCCATGTTTAATTCTCGGAATGCTGTTCTTATCGTTGGGTCTAGATTGCATTATGGATGTTCAGCGCGTAAACAAGAGCATTAGATGAACAATCGATTTGTTTTTGACTATAATTACACGTTTAATGCAATAACTAGGCAACTCGTTCCGTGTAGTTTCAGCTTGTAATTCAGGGAAACGCTGGCAAACTAAAGCGCCTTTTATTCTGAAGAAAGCTGTTTCTGGTAGCTCAGAACGGTGTGTTTTTGTCTGTTGTGGCGCTCATATTTGCGCTGTGAACGCGTTCAGTGTGTTACTTGTGTTTATGTTCTGCCCTTGTCGTCTTTAAGGAATCCCCGACGCTGATTGGCCGGCGGCTCCTCTGATGCGATGACGTCACGGGCGGAGCCGAGCAGCTGCCATGAGCGCGCGGAGAGGAGCGTTCCGTCCGTCGATGACGTCACTGGGAGCGGGGCGCCGGCCGTAATGACGTCATGAGGCTAAGTCCCCAGCCTCAAGGAGGAGAAGGTTTCCTGTGACTTGGATATTTGCGCCTCTTTGGTGAATTCCGTCCTCGATATTCCCCGGAAAGGCACGGGTTGTGTGTCCGCTGGTCGGCGTGATGTAATTTATGTGCCTTGCTGGTCTTTTTATGCAGTACTTTTGGGCCGGAAGTGTTTGTGAAGCAGCGGCCGCTCTCACCTGGACCCCAGGGACCCGCCGGTGAGCCGGGTGACTCTGTGGATTTGCGTGCAGCCGCTCGCGGAGCCTCGGGTCGGCATGTTCGCGGCGGTGGAGCTTGGGCCCGTCCTCTGCAGCGACTCCAGCATCCTGTGCCTGTCCTGGAAGGGCCGCGTGCCCCGCAGCGAGAAGGAGAAGCCCGTGTGCAGGAGGCGCTGCTATGAGGAGGGCTGGCTGGCCGCGGGGAACGGCCGGGGAGTCGTGGGCGTCACCTTCACCTCCAGCCACGGCAGGAGAGACCGGCCCTCCCCGCAGCGCATCAACTTCAACCTCCGGGGACACAACAGTGAGGTGAGGACTTGCACACAAATCTGTTTTAATTCTGAAATAATTCTGAGTATAATGCTTTACTAAAGTTTTGCTTGGTTCTAAAATATCTAATATAAATGACTCGGTTTACTTCAAAACATGCATAAAAATGGCAGGGAATAATACATTTTAATTTTAAAATTGTGATTACAAGACCTGAAAAAGTGTCCGTTTTATTGATCATCAATCACTCAGTCGATCTCTTGTGAATATACGTGTTTTGTTTTTTGCTTCTATAATAATATTTAAAGTAAATGTCTTGATTTGCTTCAGATTTGCATTTAAAAATGGCCTTTGTGTGGTAACTAAGTCATCTAAAGAGATGAATCATGAAGTCTGCAAATCATCTCATCAGACGCATGTTATGTTTGAGAAACGTCCATCACGCATGAAGAGAGCAGAAAATAGACCGGATTAAAATAGACGGCTGTAATCTGTTCTCTGCTGGGACTCTTAGCCTTCATCATCTGCGTCTGATAGAAAAGCATTCAGACGGCTGCTTCTGCTCCGATTCAGACGGTGAGAAAAAAAACACTACACAAGTGTCATAAAACGTTATATTCTCTTTTGGTGTTTTACTGGGAAAATCTAAAACTTTTGGAAGGACATTATGGCGAGTAACATAATGAACATTTCTGAACGATCCCTGTAATCATAAACTGCAAAGAGTAGAGTTACTAAAGCGGCTGACTCTGTGTTTCTGCTGTAATCCTGCGTTTGGTCAGATCTTCAGTCTGCGAGCAGAACGCCGTGTGTGTTTCCCTGCGTCTGCACGTGTGTGTGTGTCTCTGTGTCTCTGTGTGTGTCTCTGTGTCTCTGTGTGTGTGTCTCTGTGTGTGTGTGTGTCTCTGTGTGTGTCTGTGTCTGTGTGTGTCTCTGCGTGTGTCTCTCTGTGTGTCTGTGTCTCTGTGTCTGTCTGTGTGTCTCTGTGTCTGTCTGTGTGTCTCTCTGTCTGTGCCTCTGTGTCTGTGCCTCTGTGTGTCTGTGTCTGTGTGTCTCTGTGTCTCTATGTCTGTCTCTGTCTCTGTGTGTCTGTCTCTGTGTGTCTGTGTCTCTGTGTCTCTGTGTGTATGTGTATGTGTCTGTCTCTGTGTGTGTGTGTCTGTGTGTATGTGTGTCTGTCTGTTTCTGTGTGTCTGTGTCTCTGTGTCTGTGTCTGTCTCTGTGTGTCTGTGTGTCTGTGTGTGTGTGTGTGTGTGTGTGTGTGTAGGGAACGGCTCTGACGTCACATTACTGATCGCTCACCATCATGAGAAATATACATTTCACACATTATTTTACTAATAAATTTGCTTCAAATATGCAAAAAATATCATTAAAAAAGGCTAGGGAAAAATCCATTTTAATCAAACATAAAATTTTTTTATTTTTTTTATTTTTTTTGAGATTGTGATTTGAAGGCCTGAAAAAATAAATGTAATTACGTTTTAATCATCCATCAATCAACCATTCACTCACTCGCTCATATTGGTCGATCTCTTGTGAAATAAGTTTTTATTTTAAGTTTTGCTTGGTTCTAAAATGTGTCAAATAAATGGATTGAATCGCTTCAAAGTTGCATGTAAAAATCACATTAAAAAGGCAAGGAAAAAATGTATTAAAGTTAATTTTAAATTAAAATATTAATAATTCAAATATTTAAAATAAATGGCTTGATTTGCTCCAAATTTGCATATTGCATTTATAAAATGACATTTTGAATGCTAAAGAGTCATTTAAATCTATTAATTCCAATGATTGTAAAAGTCAAACGCTGCGGGAAACCTTCATAATGGAGCTGTCAGTGAATATGATATCGTCTCGTGTTTATAGTTGCTCGTATCGCTCCACACTCTCGCGATCAATATTTGCAGTCCATTCGTCTGATTGTTTGGGAAGCAGCTGTGGTCCGAAGCGTACGGTTTGGTTTGAAATCAGACGAGCGAGTGTTTTCTGTGCTGCTCTCGCAGGTGGTGTTGGTGCGATGGAACGAGCCCTTCCAGAAGCTGGCGACCTGCGACACCGACGGCGGGATCTTCGTCTGGATCCAGTATGAGGGCCGCTGGTCAGTGGAGCTGGTCAATGACCGCGGAGCTCAGGTGAGACGTCCTACAGCTCCAGTGTTGTTCCTCAAACGAGGCGCGGTGTTTAACCTGCTGTACCTGTGCAGGTGAGCGACTTCACCTGGTCTCACGACGGCATGCAGGCGCTGATCTCGTACCGCGATGGCTTCGTGCTGGTGGGCTCGGTGAGCGGTCAGCGCCACTGGTCCTCGGAGATCAACCTGGAGAGTCAGATCACCTGTGGGATCTGGACCCCCGACGACCAGCAGGTGACCGCAGGTTTACTGACACATATCAGATATGATGGCATATTTAAGTCTTATCTTAAATCTAAAAACTAATTCAAAATAAAGCAATAATCCCCAAGAAGCCGAGGTTTACAGTGAATTTATAACAGCTAAGGGGTGTTGAAGCGGAGTGCCTAAAACCCCGTTAGCTGTTATAAATTCACTGTAAACCACGGCTTCACGGGGATTATTGCTTTTATAAAACGGTTATTCCATATACGTAGTAAGGTTTCACAAAATAAAACGGAGCAAATAAAGTGTAATGATATTAATAAAAAACAGTATTCTTCCACCAAACAATGTAGCTCCTCAGAAACAGTTGTGGTTGCTACAAAGTGGTTGCCGAGCAACACACAAACGTAAACAAAGGTGTATGTTACTTTGTAGAGTCATTTACAACAGCTTCGAACGCGGCTCAGCCAATCAGAATCAAGCACCGGAACTCTCCGTTTTATAATTATAACTTTATCAATTATTTATGTATTTATTTAATTTATTTATTGTTATTTATATATAAATATAAAAAAAATTTATTAAATAATTTTTTAAAAGTTAAAATAATTTATATTATTTTAATAGGGAAAGTAAGTTTATTTATTATTCATTTATTTTTTTGTTATTTATATCACGTTTCATACACAGTGATATTCAAAGTGCTTTACAGAAAAATTATAAAAAAATGGTAATAGTCGAAATACTTAAAAAAATTTTTAAAAAGTAATAAAAAGTTTTATAAGAAATATAAAAAAGATGTTAAAATTGAACTAATTCAATTAATAATTTTATGAATTATTTTTATATTTAATAATTTATTGATTTATAATAATTCTTATTTTAACAGCTTAATAGTTTAATTATAGCATGTTTCATACACAGTGCTTTAGAGAAAAAAGTAATAAAAAGTTTCATAAGAAATATAAGCATTTAATAAATACAGTAAAAATAAAATGTAAAAAATTTTTTCAAACATAATTTACATTTAAAAACATTTCAAAATAAGAGTCAGGCTTGTTTATAATTAAAAGTCCTGCATTATGCATAAAATCTTTTTTTCTTCTGGATATTATTGGTATTTTGGTTACACAATAAATAAACTGTATCTGGCATTCAATTTATGTAAACTCACAGGAAGGAAAGAGTAAGGGCATTATTTAATTCGCACAACAATCTGTTTACTGCCTTTATTTAAACACATCAGTGAAATCCAGTATCAGTCAACCTCTAATTGATATGTGTTGATGTATTAGTATATTTCTAATACATATGTACCAATTAAACCAATACACACACGTATGTGACCCTGGAGCACAAAACCAGACACAAGGGTCAATTTCTCGAAATTGAGATGTATACATCATCTGAAAGCTGAATAAATTGATGCTTTCCATTGGTGTATGGTTTGTTAGGATAGGACAATATTTGGCTGAGATACAACTATTTGAAAATCTTGAATCTGAGGGTGCAAAAAAATCTAAATATTGAGAAAATCATCTTTAAAGTTGTCCAAATGAAGTTCTTAGCAATGCATATTACTAATCAAAAATTAAGTTTTGATATATTTACGGTAGGACATTTACAAAATATCTTCATGGAACATGATCTTTACTTAATATCCTAATGATTTTTGGCATAAAAGAAAAATGTATAATTTTGACCCATACAATGTATTGTTGGCTATTGCTACAAATATACCCCAGCGACTTAAGACTGCTTTTGTGCTGCAGGGTCACACATGAATATATTAAATCGAACATGTCTTGAGTATTTTAACGTGAGCTGCAGTCTGTTTAAACGGAAAAGAACATGAGACGCAGGATTCATTTTCAGATTGTGTGGGTTTGTTCTGTATTCATTTTACTTGCGCAGCTCTTAAGAAGACTTACAGTTTGTCTCATTAAGGGTTTGTTTTGCTCGTCAGGTGTTGTTTGGCACAGCGGACGGGCAGGTGATCGTCATGGACTGTCACGGCCGGATGCTGGCTCATATACTGCTGCACGAGGCGGAGGGCATCGCTAGCATGGCCTGGAATTACCCCAGCTTTCTGCTGGAGGACAGCAGCGAGAGCGACACAGACTCGGACGATTACACGCCTCTGCAGGGTAACCGCTGTTTTAAATGCTCTCTTCAGATGCATATTGATCTTGTGTTTGCTCATCCGTGTGATCATGATCCGGTCTTTCTTCGGTCGTAGCAGCAGCAGTTCTCCCAGTAAATAATGCACCGCTGGGTTAGGATGAGCCCTGCTGGTTATTCACAATAACAGGGACACTCTTTTTCTTCCAGTGCACCGTCTGAAGCCGCTGTTGACCGTCTGCTTCACGTCTGGAGACGTCAGTTTGATGAGCAACTACGATGACCTCTCGCCCACATTAATACGCACCGGCCTCAAAGGTTCTTCCTCGTATTATTTCTGTTTTTTTTATTTAAGTCTAAACCCTCTTAGCTGTTATAAATCCACTGTAAACCACGGCTTCACGGGGGTTATTGCTTTTATAAAACGGTTATTCCATATACGTAGTAAGGTTTCACAAAATAAAACAGAGCAAATAAAGTGTAATTATATTAATAAAAACAGTATTCTTCCACCAAACAATGTAGCTCCTCAGAAACAGTTGTGGTTGCTACAAAGTGGTTGCCGAGCAACACACAAACGTAAACAAAGGTGTATGTTACTTTGTAGAGTCATTTACAACAGCTTCGAACGCGGCTCAGCCAATCAGAATCAAGGACCGGAACTCTCCGCTTTATAATAGAAATATCATCACAATTTTTTTCTGGAAAATCACGATTTTATTGCGACTCTTTGTCATGTTGGTTTTATTTTGCAGCACAGCTAAGCTGATTTCCCCATTTTAAAAACAAAGCCTTATAAGGTAACAAAATATAAAATAAAAAAGAGTGGCAGATGTTTAGGCCAAAGTGGGCGAAGATAAAAATCGTTGTCATTATTTTATCTTTGTTCTTAAAAAATATGAAGAAAGACACGCATTACAAATAAAACAAGCAGTGCTTTATTTTTCAGGTACAGTAGGTGTATTTAGCTGTATTTAGATGAACAAATATAAGACTAAAACACTATATACAGTTCACTGTATAAATTATACACTGATTCTTATTCAAGCAACTGTATTAAAGCAAGAGCAGCCAGTGATTTTTCTCGGTGTTTTGTTGTTTTATTAACATCAAAGGGACAGTTCACCCAAAAATAAAAAATCTGTCATTTACTCACTCTCAAGCTGTTTTAAACCTGAATGAGTTTCTTCTGTTGAACACTTAAAAAAAGCCAAACAGCTGCTGGTCCCCAGTGACTTCCATAATGGTTTTTTTTTTTCCAATGGGGACCAGCAGCTGTTTGGTGACCCACATTCTTCAAAATATCTTCTTTTGTGTTCAGCACAAGAGAGAAATTAATACGGGTTTGGGACAACATGAGAGTGAGTGAATAGTGAACTATCCCTTTAAGGACAAGCGGCAGCTATTAGTCTGCTGTCACTTTAAGAGCTGCACGCATTCGTTTCTCTCTCAACTGTTTACTTCCACTTTAGACTGAATCGGTGTTTATATGTAAGCCTTGTGTGTTTTTGTTCAGACGTGAAAGATAACTCAGTGCAGTACTCAGCCGCAGTCTATTGCAATGCTAATTAATTTCCTATAATGAGTCTGTTAGAGGTGGGGGAAATCAATACAGTCTAAACAAATCAATATTTGCTGAATCATTAGTGATGCTATGTATGAATATGTGAGTGATTATCATTACTAAGCTCTAACGTTTTTTACTGATAGTGAAATTATGTATGAAGTTGATTTTCACACTGGTTTGCGTGTGTATGAATCAGATGTGGTGGTGCAGTGGTGCTCTCAGGGCGACCTGCTGGCTGTTGCTGGGATGGAGAGACTCGTGATGAACTCTGACCCCACCCAAGCCACCCGAAACGCCATTGTTAAGTTTTATAATGTTTGCGGTGAGCACATTTACTCACTGGAGACACCTGCTCAGGTGAGCGTTTGCTCATAAACACACACACACACACAATAATACCAGAGCACTCTTTTGCTTTTGTTACGCTGTAACAGTTTTTGTAACTGTTTTGTTACAGTTTTTAAAAAGTCTTAAATTCATAGTCATGGCATGAAATGCTGAAACAGCTTTCGGCTGTTCAGAGCCGATCCTTTCTTTTGGGAGACAATAACTTTATTTATCGCGCACTTTCGGCTTTACAACTTTTCAGATCATTTACATTCACATACAGCTACATTACACACTGCAATAACAGGGCACTTTAAGAATCTTTCGGAAAGCAAGACAAAAACACTGATGAAGAGCTTCACTTTATTCAGTGTGATCAGAAGGTAAAGTAAAAGTTATTCCCACTGTTTGGCAGCAGAGCTCATGAGACCTTAAAGGGTTAGTTCACCCAAAAATAAAAATTAGCCCATAAATTACTCACCCTCAAGTCATCCTAGGTGTATATGACTTTCTTCTTTCAGATGAATCCAGTCGGAGTTATATTAAAAATTGTCTTTGATCTTTGAGTTCAGCGTTGCACATGCTACGGTGAGTCTCGTGAAAATCAACGTTTGTTTAAAGGAGCAAAGGAAGCAAAGTTTCCTTACTTTAGCAAAGGAAAACCAGTCTCCTCTTGGCTTATATCCAAATCCTCCGACATTCTTCTTTACAAATCCTCGTTTTGTACTTCTAATTAGTGACCGTTGTTTTGTTTTGATCTCTCCGCTGCGTTTCCGCGTTTGTCACTTCTGAGTGACGCATGTGCAGCGCTGACCTCATTTCTGATCTCGTTTTATGGATGGACAATTTTTAATATAACTCCGACTGGATTTCGTCTGAAAGAAGAAAGTCATATACACCTAGGATGACTTGAGGGTGAGTAATTGGGCTAATTTTCATTTTTGGATAAACTAACCCTTTAAGTGTTTTTTTTGTAAAATGAATTAAAAATGAATAAAGATCTGTTGGAAGTTGTATTTTCAGTATTTGAAGTGCTACTACGCATTGTATGCAACATTTTGACACATTTTCTTGGTTTTTAAAAAGGTCTTAAATGTACCCTCATAAAACTGTGATAAATGTGACAATTTCACACAGATGAAACGTGATCTCACGCGTACAGGACTGCTTCATTGATATTCCGTTGGTTTCTGCATCTGTGTTCAGAGGCCGATCAGTACGCTGTGCTGGGGCCATCGGGACTCGCGTCTGTTCCTCGCCAGCGGCCCGGTGCTGTACGTGCTTCGTGTCGAGCATCGGGTCGCCAGCCTGCAGCTGCTGTGCCGACAGGTGATCGCCAGCGCGGTACACGAGGAGAAAGATGTGGCCAAGCTCAGCATGCCCTCTCGTCTGAGCACATACGTGTCCTCTGCCTTCGCTTCTACCATTAAGGTAGAAAACTTCCAGTTTACAGGGAGTTGGATCTTGTTTTTGAATGTAATATGTTCATACCATCATTCCCATTCTTCCATTTGTCTTTTTTTCTGGCGCCCTTTCCTCACTTCAGCCCCCCATTCCAGATCCCAACAACATGCGGGACTTTGTTAGTTATCCGACATCAGGTAACGAGCGTCTGCACTGCACCATGAAGCGCACCGAGGACAACCCTGAGGTCGGCGGCCCTTGCTACACCTTATACCTGGAGTATCTGGGGGGGCTTGTGCCTATTCTGAAAGGCCGTAGGATTAGCAAACTTCGCCCAGAATTTGTCATCATGGACCCAAAGACTGATGGGAAAGCAGGTGGGGTTATACAAGCAAATTTTTGGCCAGAATGCCACACGGGTTTAGTTCCTCGTCGGCTCACATTGTTTCTCATCACAGATGAAGTCTATGGCAACAGCTTCATCCCCTCTGTGATTGACAGCTGCAATTGCTCAGACTCTAGTGACATTGAGCTCAATGATGACTGGGTTGGAAAGAAATCACCAAAGATCTCCAGAGGGAGCAAGTCTCCCAAACTTCCCAGGTACTGCATGTTTTAGATTGCTTGATTAGTGGAATAAGACACTGTATTGCAGCTTATGTGGCTATGCATGAATTTCATTGATGATGCACATTTTAACCTGCTTAAAGGGATAGTTCACCCAAAAATGAAAATGTGATGTTTATCTGCTTACCCCCAGGGCATCCAAGATGTAGGTGACTTTGTTTCTTCAGTAGAACACAAACGAAGATTTTGAACTCAAACCATTGCAGTCTATCAGTCTTATAATGGAAGTGGATGGGAATCACGGCTTTGGGAGTCAAAAAAACACACAATCACATATAAACATCACATTTTTATTTTTGGGTGAACTATCCCTTTAATAACAAGATATGCATCATGAAATGCTTTCCAAAAAAATAGAGCTCATCTTGATAGCGTGAAACTCGCGGATCCTCCAGTTCTGAAGTCTTGTTTAACTCTGCAATTTTAGACGGCATGCTGCTGCAAACTCACCTTGAACTCTTTTCTTCGCTTGCTACCTTCTCTGTAGAGACTTAGTGTGTCCCTTTACCAACAGGATAAATATAGATCCCCGTAAGTCCCCCAAGCTCTCCCGTACCGCACAGGAAATATCGCGATCGCCTCGGTTACCCATTCGCAAGCCCTCCATTGGCTCTCCGAGTCTGACTCGGCGGGAGTTTCCGCTCGATGACATCACACAGGTAAAATGGCTGTAAAATTGGTAAAAACATCTATGTGTGTATTAAAGAGCTCACTGAATGTTTCCCCCTTATTAAGATTTGTCTTCTCGTATTTTAGCACAATTATCTTGCGCAAGTTACATCTAACATATGGGGAACAAAGTTCAAAATTGTGGGGCTTGCAGCATTTTTGCCAACAAATCTTGGTGCAGGTATTTTAATTGTTTATTTATTTTTCAGTAATATGAACTACTACATTTATCTATACGTCCCATGTTTTCTAATATACATTTCCCCTCTCACTAGTTATCTACAAGACAAGTCTGCTTCACCTCCAGCCCAGACAGATGACCATCTACCTCCCTGAGGTGAGGAAGATCTCAGTGGAATACATTAACCTACCTATGTTTAGTCCTAATGTCTTCAGTGAGGATGAGGATGACCTGCCTGTCACAGGAGCATCAGGAATCACTGATGATAATCCACCTTGCACTGTCAACATACCCATTGCCCCCATACACAGCCCCGCGCAAGCCATGTCCCCAACCCAGAGCATCGGCCTTGTCCAATCCCTACTAGCCAATCAAAACGTCCAGTTGGATGTGTTGTCTAATCCAACATTGACTGTGGCACCACCTGGGGTGTCTGACCAAGGACAGCAGGACACTGTGCTCACGGCACAGTACACCGTTCCTGCCAGGTATTCTAGTCCTGGACAGGTAATCTTTGGAGGTATGGAAGTTGGTCGGCTTTTAGTTGCGCAATCCCAACAACAACAGCAGCAGCAGCAGCAACAACAACAGCAGCTGCAACAACATTATCAACCGCAGCAGCAGCATCAACAGCTACAGCAACAGCTTCAACAATATCAGCTGCAGCATCAACAGTTGTTGCAGCATCAGCACATGCAGCAACAGCAGCAGCAACACATGCAACAGCAGATCCAACAGATGCAGCAGCAACAGCAAATGCAGCAACAGCTTCAGCATCAAATCCAACAGCAGCATCTGCAAATGCAACTGCAGCTGCAGCACCAGCAAATGCAGCAGCAGTTGCAACAGCAGCATCAGATCCAAATCCCTGTTCCAGCTTTGCCCTCAGGTCAACCGTCATGCCCGGTCATTCAACTTCCGCAGAGTACCATCCCGGACGTTCCCCCAACAGTAGAGCACGTCGCGGAGCGTGGGGAACATGAGCTCCTGCTTAAAATTAAAACCACTCGGCCTGCCCCACAAATGGCTGAGGGTGATGCAGTAGTTTTTACTGCCCCTCTTGGGATTAGCAAAATGAACCCTCCCCCTCCTTACCCTGGCACAGTTGCCGCAGCAATGGCAGCTGCCACAGTCGCAGTTTCAGCTGCTGCTTCTACGAATTCCACCTCTGGGGCAACAGGAAGCAGCTCTAGCACTTCATCCTCAGGGGAAGCTTGTGTAAAGAAAGGGGATCTGACCTTGTATCCACCTGGTGCGCAGGCAGCTCAGTACCCAACCCCACTGGGCTACGAACGCATCACCACATTTGACAGCAGCGGAAATGTGGAGGAGGTGTGTCGTCCCCGCTCGCGACTTGTTTGCAACCAGAATGTTTACACGCTGCAGGGCCCGGGAAGCTCCGCCACCCTCAGGGTCTCATCATCTTCCTCTGCTGTGGAGGGGAAGAAGGTGCAGTTGCCCTATGCCTCAGCCACGTTGAACCGTCTCACTGTGCCACGGTACTCTATACCCAGTGGGGACCCGCCCCCTTACCCTGACACAGCCAATCAGGTTGGAGCAGGGCGGAACCCTGGCCAGAGATTGGACAGCAGCTTGATTCACGCTACCATGAGGCGGAACAGTCGGGAAGCTGCGCTGAAGGTTTCTCAGATGCTGGATCCACAGAGGACCCTACCCTCCAAGGCCAAAGCCAGTACTTTGTCTGCTTCCTACCAGCCGAGAGGGCCAACAGCTCTTTATACATGCAGTCAGTGCAGTAGTAACGGTGGGGTCAGCTCTGGGGCCACCAGCAGTGGAAGTAATGGAATAGCTGGGGGGACAATCATTAGGCAAGATTTCCCACCAACCGGAGGTGGTGCACCTCACAGCACTGTTATAGTGCACTCCAACAGTGCCTCGCCTCTGCCTTCCCAGTCCTCCTACAGCCTACTCGGTATGGATGGCACCGGTGGAGTGGCTAGTGGAGGTGAAAACAGGGAAAGGGCTGACTATATCAACTCTGCCTTTACAGAGGATGAGGCATTAAATCAGTCTTTGTGGCAAATGGCTCTTAATACGGAGGTTGTGAGTTTGACAGTCAAACGGCCACCGCCGTATCAATGGGATCCGTCTGCTACTGAAGAGATCTGGGTTCCACAAGAGCGTACTGCTACTCTGCCCACCTCTGGACCTCCTGCATCCCACAAACCTCCCCCACTCATCCTCAGCCCTGCACAGCATCTGGACGTCTCCTGTCTTCCATTTGTCCTCTCGCCTAAATCTCCCACAAGTCCTAACGCCACAACTTTCCAACCAGCAGGAGCATACCAGATTGCTCTGCCCTATCCACCAAGTGCAGCCTACAGTGGTTCCGTGCAAGCTTCTCCACGTCCCACCTCTCCCAAAGAGGTGGTTACTCCTCTTCCTTTTTCCCAGCAGGACCAAGCAGTGGTCATCCCACCTGGTTATCCTCCCAATTTGCCCAACCTTGCTTGCTGCCCCCTCCCACCAATGTACCCTGGGACAGCTTCTTGTTCTAGTCTGCCTATGACTCCCATTCCTCTTCATCCATGGGGTTCTTACAATCCCTGTCCACCCATGCCAAGCCCCCCAGGTCCTGCCCCATCCCTTCCACCAAAGACCTCGCACATGCAGGATAAGACTGTTCTTTCTCCTCCCCCCCAACCACCCCCTCTTCCTACGCCACCTCCAGACCACCAGAATGCGGTCAGTCCCCCAGAGGCTATCGCCGAAGCTGGGGAAGGCTTTCAGGAGGTGCTGTCACTGAACGAAAGCCCGGTTCCTCAAAGAGCAGACAGGTTTGGCAAGAAGAACCGAAAGCGTTTGGACAACAGTCGGGCGGATGAAGCCAATGTTCCAGCAATCACAGAAGGGGGCAACAAGTCCAAAAAAGAGGGCCGTGCCCTCAGTGACTTCAACTCCCTCATCTCCAGTCCGAGGTTAGGTGGACGAGACAAGAAGAAACCGAAAGGCCAGAAAGAGCAGCTGAAAGCCAAAAAGCTAAGCAAGGCCACCACAAACGAGTTCCAGGACAGCTCCGAGAGCGAGCCAGAGCTCTTCATCAGTGGCGACGAGCTGATGAACCAGAGCCAAAGCGGTAAAAAGAGCTGGAAATCAAAAAGGAACTTGCGGGCGGGAGGCTGCGAGCTGGACGAAATCAAATGCCGAAAGGCTAACGAGAAAGAAGACCGTGGCCTCGGCAGCCAAGGGTTCGTCTACATCATGGCCAACAAACAGCCTCTTTGGAACGAAGCCACGCAGGTCTACCAGCTGGACTTTGGAGGAAGAGTCACGCAGGAATCTGCAAAGAACTTCCAGATTGAGCTCGAGGGGAGACAGGTACGCAAGAAGCGTTAGATGTTGTTTCTTTTGGACACCATTTGTGTGCTTTCTAACTTCTATTTCACTCTGTGTAGGTGATGCAATTCGGAAGGATTGATGGGAATGCATACATCTTGGACTTTCAGTACCCCTTCTCAGCTGTGCAGGCTTTTGCTGTAGCACTTGCTAATGTCACCCAGCGCCTCAAGTGATCGACTGGACTGGAACATTTTAGCCAGTTATACCAATTCTTTCTTTGCTCTCTGTTGTCCGTTTAAGCATTTTTTCCCAGTTTAAGATGCAGTACTAATACTTGAAAACTACATCTGGGAAGCCACATTTTCCGAGTGTTAGAGGTACTACTGGGCACTGAAATCAATTGCTGTAGAACATACTGTCATTACTAATTAATTTGTTTTTGCATAAGATACTAATGTTTGTCACACTTTGAGGACGTTATATCTAAACTCACTTCCAGGGACTTTACCCTTGTAGTTCAACAGCTAGCATCTGATTAGATGCTTTTGGCTTGCAGTCATAAAAATGTATTTTATTAAGAAATAGTTAGACTGAATATACAGTACACTCTTGGTATTTCTGTTAGGATGGACTTGCTTTAGCAGACCGAAAAAGCTTAACGGTAAAACCATTGATGCTGTATTCATTAGCACTTAGATGTTTTTAATGATTAATTCCTCTTGAATGTTTGTTTGTTTGTTCATCCACACTTTATTAGTGCGTTTTGCATTTGTTTGTTTGTTTAACTGTCTTATACATTCTGATTGTGCATCTCTTTCCTGCTGCGAAACAGGAAGTGAAGTGCCAATCAGTACTCATGCCCCCCCACCACCACCACCACCAAAAAATGAAGTGACTGCCCCCTGCTGATGCTTCTGTGAAGTGATTTTGTGTAATGGCTCTCAAGCCACATTTAGTCCACCTCGACATGCGCAAACAGGAGATATTTTTCTACCGTGCTTCAACAATGTCATACCTTTTAATTTTTTTGAAAATGATGTTTGTGACACGTTTTGTTGTCAGTGCTAAGAATATCACCGTGTAATTCAGAAATTCGGCAGTAGGTTTGCGAGGAACAGCAGTGAGGATTACGATTCTCTTATGAATATAGCAGCATGCGTAACGTTTTCTTTTTATTTGATTTGACTGATACCAATAAAACAAGCAAGCAAAACGGCATGAATAGACAAGTCCCAGATCAGAAGAGAGTGAATTTAAAGGCCTGCAACAGTAATCATTACATTTCGTTTTTAGTGGTTCAGTGTTTTCGACAGTATTGGTGATCGGAAACCATTGCAGCATAAAAACACGTTTGTGTGCATGTGTGTCTGTCTTATGTCTTTTGTAAAGAGTGATCCAAACACAAACGGTGTTTTGTTTCATGCGGAGAATCCCCTGATGGTGATTCCAGAAAAAGTAGTCGATGTTCTTAACGGAAGAGTTTGTTTATTTATTTATTTATGTCTTGTTTGTGCAATATTGTGCTTTCTCTACCGTCGGATTTCTGCCATTTAATCCACCTTTAGTAAGTGTGAGCGTTATTGGTGTACAAACGGTTCTTCAGCTGGTGTCGTGTATATAACGTGGATGGCGCTGAAGCGGTGTTTGTGGATGAGGATTGGACGGCGGTGGGTTTTGGAGTCGAAACCAGAACACAGTTTTAGAGCTTCGTGCTTTAACCTTTGCATCACCTGCTCCATCCGATGCGCGTCTTATACGTGTTCTGATTCGACTGGTGAGCTTTATTGGACTTTATTGTTATTTGAAATGTGCTTGGTATTTGTAGGAATAGGTCAGTGCTTTGGAGAAGGAAAAACGTGACTTTGGTGAGCGAATGTTTGTATTGAAGGGCACAGAGGCATGCTGGGTAAATGATATTACTTGTTTTTTAAGGAACGTGTTTGTTTTGGAAGAGGTGAGCATGGAATGGCTTTGGAACTGAAGATGCACGCCACGGTTCGTTATAATTGCAATACATTTTGGATTCACGTTTGCTTTAGTCCATTCTGTCTAAAATGAGCAAAATGCACCCATGATGCCGTTTGTTTTTGAGGTGACTGCTTGGCAGGAAAGTTAGGACTTGTTTAGATGTCTCGGTTACTTTTTTGGAAGCGTCTTTATCGGTTTATTTGCCCTATACTGTATATTTAGGGGAATCTCATGCTTCGCCAGTTCCCCCTTTTTTGACTCTTATTTTGTAAACAGATTCTGGGGGGTCAGGCGTGACTAACTTGAAGCCTATGCACTAGGGTTTGCATTGTACTGTAATGAACAGTTGTGTTGTTCCTCAAAAGCTGAATTGTGTCCTTTTGTCTGTGCGTAGCCCAATAAAAGTGTACAGGTTGAAATATCTCTCCTGAGTGTCTGCATAACAAACATACTGATTATACCAAATTCACGAGCTTCATTTGCATGCTTTTATCAGTAACATAAAAGCACATTGGAGAAACGTGATTATAAAATGAAGTGCTATGTTAAAAGTAAATGTTATTTAAATACGGTGATATCCGAGTCATTCTGCACCACTGCATAAGCAGCGTGGTATTACCATTACTTCACCATGGTACAACCACAGGACTTTGCGTATAGAGTGCATTACATTTACTTGCTAAAGGGTTCTCTGAAACACTAAATTCACTTGCATTGCAATTTTTTTATATACTGTGTATATTTTATTTTGTATACGTTTATAATTTATATTTTTGTGTAATTTAGACTAAAAACAATGTATAGTTTTGCTAAAGTCAAGCTACTTCATATTTATGAAAATTGAGAATATTTTTATATAAATTAGATAAATGTATGATTTTAGTGGAAAAAAAAACAAGGGTTTCTTAAACCAATACATTATACTATTTACATTACATATAGTATATACGCTATATTATACCAAAATAAATAAATAGCAAAACAATACTAAGCCACTTCATATTTAGAGAATATTTTGCACAAAAGCGTCTGCATAAATGTATAGAATTATGCTTTTTTATATCGACTGATTAGTCATGTTTGTCACTATAGCTGGTGTATTAACTTGTTTAGTGTTCATGTTTAGGGTAACTTCTTTTATGTATCTTTTTTTTTTTTTAAGTGATCAATTATACTATTTTTAAAAATTGCAAAACAATAAAGCGTCAAGCCACTTCATGCAAATATAAGAAATATAGAGAATATTTAATATAAAAGCATAAAACTATAGAACTATGCCGTTTCAAAAAGTGTTTTTTTTTTTTTTTTTTTAATGTTTTTATGACTGAAGAGTCGAGGGACGTGTTTGTCACTATATTTAGTGACTTGAGTTAGGGTCTTACTGTGTGTTTCGTGTCTATGAGCCCTATGTAGTGAGCCCTACCTGGTGAGCGGAGCCCTGTCCGTGGTCCTGAACGCGTTCGATCACGTGACCGGCCCCCTGCGCCTCCCGTGTGCCGCAGATCCGCTGAACACGGCGGCGGAGAGCGCGTCGGTGAGGACTGAGGAGGCATGGAGCGGCCGGAGAAGCCTCTGCTCGGGGAGGTGAAGCAGCTCTGCTGGAGAATACTAGAGGCCTGCAGCGAGCTGAAGCAGGACCTGACGCCCTACAAGATCGAGCGCTTCTACAGGTAACGAGCTCTCGACACATGAGATTACTCGTGTTTAGACACAGACAGACTGTGGCGTGTTAGAAACAGCGTGCGCTCGAATTCAGGCAATCCATACACCTGTGATTAATTTCTCATAATGACCAGACCAATGAATTCATACAATATGGCATAAATATGTAATATTTTTATTTTATTTTAAATGTGCGCTAAATGTTCGTTTTGAATGAATCCCTGCGTGCACAGGAAAGCTGCTCTCTGAGGCTTTGAATCGCTACATTACGAGTTAGATTTGAGCAAATCGTATTATTTGATATAAAACGGTAAGGCAGATGGCGCACGCGCACTGCGGCGGGGGTCACGTGACCTCGTGCGGGTGACGTCAGCGGGCTGATGTGTGCGGAA